GATCATTTCTGTTCTATATTTGACAAGTTTCATTCCAGAAAGACATACCTTACCATACCATACTTTTACTAAGAAATAAAAACTGGCATACGTAAGAAGCATATTACTATTTAAAACTTAAAAACTCTCACTTCTTAACTTTTTGCTTACAGAATTATTTAGAATAAAATCTGTTTTTTTAACTTTGAGTAATTGAGTTCAGAGGGTGACCTCTTCTAAAATGAATAGTGTGTGGGGAATAAAACTCAACAGAAGACAAACTTGCAGCTGTACCTCTATTTCCTGCTGGAAAATGACTACGCGCCCACCCTTGTCTCCTGTGGCCAGCAGCTCCCCTGTGTGATTAAACTCAACTGTGGATATGATGTCCGCTGCAAAAAAAAAAAAAAAACCAAAAAGAAACAAAACCCCAAAAAAAAAAAAAAAAAAAAAACTCCATTCCTCTCTCAGCTTATCACTAGAATATTGATGCACCCTTATAATGAGCTTGTATTATCTATTTATGAAGTAAATTATTCAAAATACAGACATTTTTAATCAAGCTGGGTGATCTCCTGGTGTAGGCAGCGAACCAACAACTTACTAGATTTGTTGAGTGGAATGAGACCCTTGTCTGGCTCAGCCCGTCCTGTAACGATGACACTGCAGACTGTGTTGGGCCGTCTGTCCCGGCTCCTCAGGTCCCACCCGCGGGTATCCACTGTTGCTGTCTGAGGAGGTGCGAGCCCCCGCGCTCAGGCCTGAGGCGAGCTGCAGTAAAGTCCTTAGCAGCTCCTCTGAGATACGAGGCTGCCTTTGATGTGAGCAGCCATTTTTGGAGCAGCTCCGGATGGTGGTGGTGGTGTAGCAGGGGGTGGGTAGTTTTAGTCCAAATCAGCCCCTCTTTCACTTCCATGTGGGGTTTTTTGGGTCTTCACTTTCCTCCTCTTCCTTTCCTAAACTGCATACACAGTTAGACAAGAACAGAGGAGTATAGCAGCTAAAGACAAGAATGATTGTAGCAATGACTTTATTATTTGGGCTCAGCTCTTGTTTCCTTCTATAGAGAATACATTCATGTTAATAATGCTCATTTACTTTATCACCTGCTTGATTGGAGTGCCTGTATAAGATCTGGGATCTGTCTTGGCTGTATTAATTAATGTAAAACAGTTTTAAACATGCACAGTAGAAGAGAACTAACAGCTGTGTATTGTTTGTGTGGTGTCTGGTGGTAAACGCGCTGGAAAGTATGAGCTGCAACAAACAAGGCGGTGTAAATATGACTTAATGTAAAATGTGTATTACTTCTACATATATTACATTCAACTTTAACACAATTTAAATAATTGACAAGCTATGACATTTTGCATGGACAGACTAATTCAAATAGACTAGTGTTCAATTGACTCTTTTGGAACCTCGGTCATTCTTTCCCGTAGTTAGATATGCTATGTGCAAGGCTCGTTGAAAAGACAACGAGATTTTGAAGCTGTTTAAAAGATAAAAGTGACATACATATTGTATATATACATATCTTACGTTAGCTAATGTTAGCAAAACAGTTCCTAACTAGCTAGCTAATCTACATCAATCGTTAGCTAGTTTATTAGCTAGGGTTTTGCTAAAATTTGTTATCAGATGTAACTAGCTAGCTAATGATTAATGTAGATTAGCTAACTAGTTAGAAAGCAAAACACTAGCTAAGTAGATAACTAGCCAGATGAGTCTATGATTGACGTACATTAGTTAGCTTGTGTTATGCTAAAATTAGCTAACTTAAGATTTGACTAAATATAATGTTATATGTCGCTTTTATCTTTTAACCATCTTCAAAATTAGGTTGTTACAGACAACATAGACAAACCTGGCATAGCATACATAGTACAAGAAAGGAGAAAGTAGATCAAAATATTGATGAATGTGATTCTTTGTGATTAAATCAGCATATATTTCTGCCACACCTTAAAGTCTCCATGCCACCCTCTGGACACCCCATGAATATTTCTCTAGATCCACCTACCAATGAGAGTACATAACACAGTTATTGTTGGCCTTATCTCTTTTAAAGTCTATAAGATTATTCAATGTTTAAAGTCGTGCTCCAGCAATTAAGTAGCACTTCCATAACCCCTTATAAAGGTATCAGTGATATAATTTTACAGGCAAATATAGCTGTATATTATCTGTCTGTATGGGACCCAACAATGGTGCAAAAGATGAGATGAGAATGAAAATAAGAGGACTTGAGATACTGAGCAGTTAATGGTGCTATAGAGAATATAGAGCCAGCTGCGTCTGTAAATGTGTATGATGGCCAATTAAAATGTTGTGATCAACAGTGTCAGAGGCGGCACTGAGATCGGGGAGCAACAAGAGCTGAGGATTCACCAGCATGTGCTGTCAAAATATGATTATTTGTAGCTCTTATGTGCAATCCTAGCTGTTCTGTATTCAGAGGAGGCCAAGCAGATTAGAAATTTTGGATCTTTTTTTTTTTATGCCCATGCAAGGAGCTAATGACTAAACGCACCTTGTTACCTTGTTATAAATGCAATTAAATTTGACTTCACAAGTCATGTCTCCCACAGTGTCAAATTATGCAAAAAGACACAAATAGCACTCTTTTAATAGAAGTCTGCCTCTCCACAGTGCTCATATGGGGGCTGTAGACTTTGAAAAGAGGAAAGCACGGAGAATCAACATATCTTCTATTTTACTTTAATTATTTTGTTCAGGAAGTCTGTGTGGGCTTTAATGTTTCTTTTCACTAATTGCTAGAATGCCAACTTTATGAGGAGATGTGTGGTTTCCTCTCTCCCTCTCTCTGTCTCTCTGCCTACTTTGTTATTAGCAGCGGAGTAAATGTGTGATAGGGTAATTAGCCTAATGAGTTGTGGCATTTACTATAAAGATCTTTCTGGATTCTCTGCATCTTATTAAAAAGCCAGTAAGGCTTTTGTTTCTCAGATTTGCGGATGTAGTGTTCGAGGCTGATTCGGCTCAGAGATGGAAACATGCGCTTAATTGAAAGAGACATCATAATAGTACTTATTTAAAAAAAAACACAGAAATGTCCTTATGCTGCTTAGAAGCAACTCGGGTAGAGGAGCTGTGTTTACCAGAACACGCTGTTTTAAGGTCACACTTACATGAGTTTGTTTTAGTTAACTGCTCGCTTGCTTTACATGTAGAGAACTTAGGGAATCAATTATATGTGTGCCTTACACATCCGCTGTATAGAGCCACATTCACTACATTTCAATGGTCTACACACTATTCCAGAAAGAGAGCTCTTACATTAATTGTCTAGAACAGTGGTTTTCAACCTGGGGTCCGAGGACCAATGGGGTTCCTTGAGTGGGGGTCACCAATAAATGCAGGAATAGATGATTTGAACTTTTGTCACATTTTTTGGAAGTTGTAACAAGGTAAGAAATAGGGTTGGCGATTTGGCGAATGTAATTTATAGTGATCCCAGTTTGATTATTGATTGAGTAAGAATTTATAATACTTTATATACCCAAACACTGGTTCTCAAACTATGGTACGTGTGCCACTGGTGGCAC